AATTAGCAAAACGCTAATTCGAATTAGTTTTTGGGTCTAGATGCGTTATTTCAAATTAGCTTATTTCGAATTAACTAATTCGAAATAAGTTCATTCGAATTAGCGCTGTAGTGTAGACATACCCTGTGTGTTTGCACAGTAGGGCCTTTGACTGGTACTTAGGAGCATTGCGGCAACACAAGCAACCCCACCCTCAAGTCAGATCACTTTCATGCTGCCTTTGGGCCAGCTTTTGCTCCCTTACGTGGGCTGCACACTAGGCACCATCATTGGCTTCAGTGGACTCACTCCCGATTGACATCTGTGTAAGCAAGTGGGGAATTGTCTTTGTCTCCATGCTGAAGCAGCAGCTTTGCATATTTTCTCTTGCCACCCTCCATCCTGATCCTGTGCACCACGCCACATCACTCTCCTCCTTATTCTAGCCCTTCTTCCAAACTTGCAGCTAGCCAAACCAAAAGGTCAGGCATAAGGATGTGAAATCTAACCAGTTAACCAATAAGCTGATGCGTATCAATTTCTGTTGCTGGTTAAACGCTGCATGCTCCCTGGGCCCTGGCTACCCCATGCTGGCTCCTGGCATGCACCGGCTCCTGGCTGGCAGCCCTGCTCCTGCTGTACCAACTGCACTGTGCTGCTGGCTGCAGAGCTTTCAGGGCCCCAGGAGTGGGGCCAGCAGTCAAAGCCAGTGCACATCAGGACTGGGAGCTCACCAGCTGCAAAGCCCACAGCACAGGGCAGCTGGAAAATCATGAGTATAGCTCCTAGCCCTCCTCCTCCTCCGTGCCCTGGTCAGGGCCCTCTGCTCCAAGGTCGATGACCACCTGGGGGGCACAGACCATCCCACCCCCCAGGATGCGGTCCAGGGCATCAAAATAGGGGCAGCTCTCAGGGTCTGCCCCTGTTTGGCAGCTGCCCCCTGTGGCCCTTGCATAGGCCTGCTGCAGCTCCTTAATTTTCATCTGAACCTGCTCCTGGGTTCGCAGGTGGCCTTTGGTGGCCAGGCTGGCAGCCATCCTGCCATAGACAGTCTCTTTCCTCCATCTAGTGCAGAGATCATGGACATTGGAGGCATCCTCCTGTTGCCCTAGGGACGTGGACAAGCAATTAAATTAAAATGGCCAATGGTGTGGATATAAAATGGGAATAAGGAGTCCCTACACAGAAGGAAGATCTGACCTGAGAGCCGTATCTAATCACCAGTGGATCACTAGCCACAAATCAGGCATACACAATTTTAGGGCCAAACCATGTATTTGATATGAATAGTAGAACAGATATACAGTTAACAGCAAGTCCTAACAAACCAACCCTCCCTCACCCGAAGAAAGGAGATAGAACAGTTCCCTAGATACATAAGGTATATACAAAGCCTGAGGCGATCGATGCCTGCGACCTTCGACCGTCGGGCTATTTGTAAGCCTCTGGGGAGGACAAGCAGGGAGATCCCACAGTAGCGAGTCCTCTATGAAGAGACGACCCCGATATGGATCCTCGATCTGGAAAGGAATCCCCTCTAGACACAGTCTGATCTGTCCTTCGACAACACCGTCTGGTCCAGTAGGCAGGTAATCCAACAAAGATGATAGGAAAGGAAAGTCCCGGTTCCAGTGGTCAATGCAAACAGGAAAACCTTGTGGGTATTTACGACACAAGGTAGCACAGTCCAAAAGTCCAGGCCCAGCCTCCCACCCGCTCTACCTTGCTCATCCCAAGCCAGGCCCTGTTCTGCCCACACTCGCCTTCCCCCGCCCCTTTGCTCCCTGCCCCGAGCAATCCAAGCTGGGACATTATTGGGGCCTGGGCAGAAGCAGGGGTCATCCCACCACCACACTCACTGTGGCAGCTCCACCCTCCCCTGCCACCCTCCCAGCCTGTTGCCCCTTGTTTTTCCACAGCAGCAGGAGGCAGAACACTGTAGGGCTGAGGCACTCTGCTTCCTGCTGGCATGGAGAAATCGAGTGCAGTGGGCTGGGAGAGGGCAGTGCAGCAAAGTGTGCCACCCTGTGCCAGGACCCCATAATCCCTCCAAGTCCCTACTATCTATAGGTCTGGTTCCATGTTGCAGAGTGCCATGGTGTCCTGAGTGCGGGCAAGCAGAGCACTCCAAGACACAGATGCTTTGCTGTCCCTCAGTGAGGCAGACCAGCAAGCAGAGAAACCTGAGAACTGTCTGTCCGGGATGAGGCATTGGGTCCCTTTAAGCACAGACCTCGGCTAGCCTGAGGCAGCAGCCCCACACACTAAGTTCGACCCTGATGCCCTGCTGGCACTGGTTCCGGCCAGCCTTACCTTCGATTCAGGGTCCACTCAATGTAGACGTGCTATTTCAAATTAGAAAAATGCTATTTCAAATTAGTTTTTGTGTCTAGATGTGTTATTTCGAATTAGCTTATTTCGAATTAACTAATTTGAAATAAGTTAATTTGAAATAGCACTGTAATGTAGACATACCCTTAGTTCTCTGAACTCCCAAAGGAATCCAAAAAGGTTACAAATTTGTTGCAGTGACTCAAATTGACATTTGATGGAGTCAAAAATAACAAAAAGCCCCACTAACTCGATAGTGTCTTTCTGTATCAGATTGAGATGTTAGGCTGCAATTGGTGGAAAACTCTGATGAACTCTCAATACCTTGCACTACCGATTTGGGCTCAGAAAGGATTGCATCCCATTGGTCACAAATCTTTTGAGTATCTTTAAGAAGTCATTCAATGTTATCCCTCTCAACATCTAATGTAGCATTGCGGGCTCCAATTGCAAGATTAGTTTCGTGAATCATTTTTAGCTGCTTCATCCACATGGACAATATTAAAATGCATTCATGTTTGGATGTATAACTCTAAATTTACTTAAGCTCAGTGAGAGCCTTTGCTGTGGGAATAAGAGATTCAAGCTCACTTAAAGCCTCTCTCAGAGCCCAAATGCCCTATTCCGAACTACCGTTACTCCTCGTGAAACGAGGTGTACCGGTAGTTCGGAATAGGCACCCTAGTCCGAACTACCTAGTTCGAGCCCCGTGTAGCCGCGCTACATGGGGTTCGAAGCAGCGGGGATTTAAAAATGGCGGCTCCCCGCTTATGCTAATGAAGCCCGGGAAATTCAAATCCCGGGCTTCATTAGCAAGTGCGGTATGCATACATTACCCTCCTAGTTCGAACTAGGAGGGTAGTGTAGACATACCCTTTGAGAAATGACTGCATTTGAGCGACATTGTTCTTATCAAGAAGTCCAATATCAGGTTTTCATGCCGCTGTTGTTACACTATGTCCTGTGCTAGTCATAAGTTCTTGGTCTTTGGTCAGCCTAGGGGGCGACAGTGATTGAGCTGTGTCTATTGTCTCGGGAATGAATACATAGGGGCTCAGAGGCCATCTGGCTACCAACAACTATTAATGTACTTCATTTAACTGTCAATCTGACTTGGGTGCCTTCCTATCTTATCTGAGTCTGTGGTCTTTGGGGGCTCTCATGAAGTCTATTATGCTAGCTATCTGCGCAGAGCTGGCATAATATATTGAGGGAGCATATGAAAATGCACACAGCTGAATGTTTATCATCACTGATGGAGCAGGAAACCTGTCAGGACACCACACCAGTGAATTCTGAATTTAGTGTATTACTGTCCTGAACTACTACAGCTACTACTACTCAAGAGCAGCCCCCCGCTAACGGCTCCTGGTGTGGAGGGTCCAGAAGCAAGAGCTCCCCCCTCCACACACAGGCTGTCAAACAGGAGTTCAGAACAGTGTTTTGCAAGAGGCCTTTCAGAATTAAAAGAAGTGTTAAAAACCTGTATCCATTAAAGAAGACAAGATGTGACTTGTCTACAGGGTGCGTTGTGTTAGTCTAGACTAGAAGGATGGACATTCTAATGCACACAGGAGCATGACATGCACTAACTGCCCCAAGTGGACTCTGCTGGCATATATTAAAAAAAGCTTACTGCGTGTTAATGTAGTCCCATTTCAAACAGACACACCCTAAAGACAAGCCCTAAGTTTTAAAACACACATAAACATTTGATATGTGAGACACAGAATCAGATCACAAGACAGGGATGCATATTTGAACTTGCCAGAGTTTGGGGCTTTTGATTCAAGCTCAGGCCAGCTCTATTGTAGAAGTTTATATGGGCTATAGACTGGGAGTGGGATAGGAGAACAGATGCTCCCTGAGGGCACATCTACACTTCAGGGCAAAAGTAGAATTAAGATATGCGTCAATTGTGTAGCTGAAGTCAAAATAGCTTAATTCGGCTTTTGGCGCTGTCGACACGTCAGGAAGTCAAAGGAAGAACACTCTTCTTTCGACTTCCCTTACTCCTCATGAATTAAGGGTTACAGAATGCGGAGTAAGAAGTCTACCATCTTGAAATTATTTTGAAATAACAGCTTGCTGTGTAGACCTGCACTTTGTTATTTTAAAATATCAGTTATTACAAAATAACACTGCTGTGTAGATGTACCCTCATTGTCCTATTTTAACACAATAATGCCACAGACACCACGTTCCGCCCCCTGGCTCAGCTGGACCCAGCAACAATTGGGATACTGTGAAGATAATTACTTTAACTATTTGGATGACATCTCGGGCCTGCTGAAGTTGATGGGAGTTTGGCCATTGACTTCAGTAGGGCCAGGATTTAACTTAGGCTACATCTACACTGCCCGGTCTTGCGCAAGAACATATGCAAATGAGGGGTGGCGATATTCATCACCACCCCTCATTTGCAAATGTTCTTGCTCAAGTTTAGTTAAGTCAGGCAGCCATAATGTTATTTCACCGATATGAGAGTCTCTTGTTCCCTATTTAGGCGACTAATATAAATCTATATATGGACTGGATACCAGAAGGGTGAGTGTGTAACAAGATATAACATAGCTCTGTCATATTCATAACCTGTATGTATATTTGCTGAGTTATTCAACAGTAAACTCTGCTGTTAGGACAAGACAGATGTGCACACGTTAGTTGTTAGGACATAATGTAATTGCAAATTTTAAACATTTTTGGGTTTATTTCAAGAGAAATTCCTGAAGTTTGGGAAACAGTTTCAGTGCATTCTGTGTTGTCACTTTTATAACTTCCTCCACTTGGATTCCTTTCATTTTGGCAATATATTCTGCAGCAATGAAAATATTCTTTGGTTCATTTCTCACCTGTAAAGTACAAAAGGAGAGAATAAATTAAAGAATCAGAAACTGTTATCAGTGTCAGATTCGAATTCTCTTCAGAATCAGTTGTTGCAAACAGTTTCAAATATACCAACAATAGGGCCTTAAATGTAATTCCTCTATTTGTTCATCCACCTCCAGTCTACTCTCAGTCTATTCCTGCAAAATGGCAAGTCTTCCCCTGTGTAGTCCCTGTCTTCAGAGCTAACTTCTTGTATCACTCTGCCTTATTAGCTTGCCATCTCTTTTCCAATTTAATTTGATGATGTCTTTCCTCCCACACCTCTGCCTATTCAATTTTTACCCTTTGTTATTATTCTCAATAAACTAGATTTTTGGAAATGCAGAAATGGAGAAACAAACAATTTACCTGTTTTTCAGGACCTAGTGCTGGAGAGTCAGTTTCTAAGCACATACAATCTAAGGGCAACTGTTTCACAAGCTTCTGCTTCTTAAAGGAAACAAGAAAGCTATTAAATGGCTCATTCACTCAAACTAGGAAAAAAAGCAGAGGGGGGAGAGATGTGTTTCATGTTAAAAGCATGGCAGTAATACATAAAGGGATCTTGTAAATGTATTTTTGATAACTGTGCAATTAGAATACAGGCAGTCCCCGGGTTACGTACAAGATAGGGACTGTAGGTTTGTTCTTAAGTTGAATTTGTATGTAAGTTGGAACTGGTACATATTGTAGGGGAAACTCTAGCCAAACATTTCTCCAGAGCTCAGTTTTATTCTCCCACACCTCACTTCCCTCAGTCCTTTATTCTCAAGCTGAGGTGTCTGCTGAGAAAAGCTGCTCTGCATCTCCCTGGTCTGCTGGGGAGGGAAGGGGGGGCTCTAGCTTCGCGTCTCCCTGGTCGGCTGGGGGGAAGCAGCTAGTGCGGGGTTGCCTCACCCCGTTTGTAAGTAGGGATCCGATGTAAGTCGGATCCATGTAACCCGGGGACTGCCTGTATAGTAAAAATGGTCAAGAATACATGAAATACTTTTTAATAAAATCTCCATAAAATGCATGCTGCCACCCCTAGTGAAGCATTGGACCCATTATAATTTATTAAATCCGGGCTACTCAACATGTGGCCCGTGGCAGCCCGTGGACCGTTTGTTTGCAACCTGCGGTGCGGTTTGGGTTTATATAGGGCTCAACATGCAGCCTGGGGGTAGGATCCTTTGAACATGGCCTCCACTGGGAACATGCTCCATAATGGCAAGGTGTCTCTCAGGCAGGGTGAGCACTGAAAGACGCAAGGAGACGGGGTGGCTGGAACAGACGGGTACAGGGTGTTGGCATTTCTAACCCTCAAGGAGGAGGTGCCAGGAGTGCCTGGGCATTGTGGGAAGTGCTTTGTATACATGCCCGTCAATGTGAAAGAAGCTATTTGTATGTATATGCAACCACACTTAAGTTGCGGCCCTTGGCATGTGCTGTGAGTATCATTGTGATTGCTGGGGCTTCCACAGTTGAGAAGCCCTGTATTAAATCAAGTAATATTATTGCAGATTTTTAAAAACCTACATTAGGGTTGCAGAGTAAAGCACTCAAAAGCTCAGATATACCAGAATCAAAGTTGCCTGTGCAACCCTAATTCAACCTCTTTGTGCATATGTCTTATGATACCATGTTTAATTATATTGTACTTACATTCTACTTTTTCTCCCCCAGTCTTGTCCTACCTCTCATCCCCCCAGGTTCTCATCCCAATCTATCCCCCCACTGCAGTCTGGCTCTTGTCCCTTCTGCACTGAAATCAGGCAGCTGCTTCCTGTTCCAGCAAGCTGACCCCAGCGGGGAGTTACTAGAACATAGAAGAGACAGGCTTCCCTGCTCCCATCAGATGCTCAAATCCAGCACAGTCTGCAGCAATGCAGGGAAAGCCCTGCTTGGTCTGGGGCTGGCGTGTGCCCAGTGTGGATGGGATCTCTGAGAAATACAGCTGTTAAATCTAAAGTTTCTCCTGAGCACGTGCAAACTGCAGGTTTTCATGGGTACATAATTTGGCCAAATTAGGGTGGATTTTTACAGGAACAGCATAGGGCTCGTTCTTGATACACAAGTTACTCCCTGCCAAATTTTGAGTCTCTACTTCAAAGCTTGGGAGTGCCTAAGCTTTCCGAAGAAAAGGCCAAACGAAGTTTTTAACATGGGTGAAACAACATATTATAGGTTTAAAGAAATACCTCAGTATAACAGAAAGTAATACCTTCTTTGTGATAAACTGGGTTACAGGCTGAAATATTCAAATACTGATATAGAACTATCCCCTTTGAACTTTACCTGTTCACTTCTTACAATGGAAGGAGGAATGGAAAAGAAATAGCCAGCCTTCACTCCTTCCATTGCCACAGATGGCCTTCCATCAAATGCATGGAGCAACACCCTTTCAGCACCTACAGAGAGCCAAACCAAATAAGAAATAGTTATGTTCATGGAAAAACTTCCTAATTGTCAGGGTGGTTAAGCACTGGAATAAATGGCTTAGGGAGGTTGTAGAATCTCCATCACTGGAGGTTTTTAAGAGCAGGTTAGACAGACACCTGTATGGTTTAGGTAACACTTAGTCCTGCCATGAGTGAAGGGAACTGAACTAGATAGATGATTTCTTGAGGCCCCTTCCAGTTCAGTGATTCTATGGTTGGACTATGATGTCACCTCCTAGTACTAAAATCAATGGTCTCACTGTATTCTCGGATTACAGTCAGAACAGCTCCTGTGAAGCTGCTAATTAGTGATTCCAGTTGGTGCTTATGGTGTCAGACAGACAGTTTACACAATAGGTCGGGGAGGAGGTGGAGATGAAGAGCCAACTATAAAAGGAACCATGTTGGGGGTCATAACTGAGACTGCAAGCAGAAACAGCCTGGGGAGTGAGGGAGATAGATAGTAAAACTGTTCCCATGGTAATCTGCTCTTCAATGCACTGCAGTCTGAGGAAAGCACAGTCAGACCAAGGATTTTTTTGTCAGGAGCTGACATCACAATTCTAACGTAATAGAGACAGACAGAAATTACATTCACTTTCCTTCATTTCTTATTTTTACAGGTTCCCCCTCTTAAGTAAGGCAAACAGTGCAATAATGAAGCAATCAAAAAGAAGAAATTGCTGAGTTCATTCCCCAACCAGAGCAGGATACCATCCCCCAAGAGTGCATGTTTGATACTGAACTGATACAACACTTGTTCCTAGTTCAAAACATAAGAGATATCACAGCCTTAATTTTATCAATGTTTTAACAACACGAGGATTTCACTTCAGGAACTTCATGCTATAGAAGTATCATATCAGTTAACTGCCTGTAACTCTATTTGAAATGTATTTAAAATGTCCACCTTTTAAAAATAAAAAAGAACACTTTGATGTTCTGAGCAGACACTGAGCATGGATATGGATCTGTCAGAAGGCCTTGAAGGTTTGAACTGACAAACTGTTAGGCTAAGGCAATCTGCAATTCTTCAAACAAACAGGTAAACCCCCTAAATCAAAATGACAGTACATTGAGAAGGACCTCCATAACTGTGCCCGTCAAGCTTTATGCATGCAAACTGACACGAATGACCATAAGAGGATATGGTAAAACCAAAGAAAGGATGCTGAAAAAGACCTGAATTTTAATAATAGGAAGTGAGCCAAAAAAAGTACCTTGTTCCTTTAGGAGATTAATGGTTGGTCTTCCAGCTGAACGAGAATGGACATTTCTAGTGAAGAAGGAAAAAAAAAAGCTAGCACTAGGAAATTTTTACATGATTAACAGCACTTTTATAGCACCATTCACCAAAAAAGAGTCCCAAAGAATTTTATAAACTATATAAAGAAATCATGTCAGCCATCTTGAAAATACAGTAGCAACGGTCTAAGACAAGAATTGAAGAAGACTACTGTATGCAATTGAAGCTACAGGAGGTATTCCAAGTAGGCAGACTGTAACTACCATGTTGTTATGTAGCTAAGACAATGAAACCAACATCCTTACTCTTCTACGTGCTATGGGTTAACTATAGCTATGGAGGTATTTGATTGTAGGTCTCTTCTAAACACAATAACCTATTATTATAAACCAGACCTACAAAGGCAAATCCAGTCTTTTTGCTAATTGAATCTGTTTGGTCAAGACTTGTCTTTGTTCTTCCTTCTGTTCATCCGTGCTGGCAAATCTGGGAGTGAAATCTAGTCCAACCTACAGCACAAGAAGAGAAATAAGAAAGTTTCACCAACCTTTTTTCCTGAACTACAGGAAAGGAAAACTATATGTAAAGGAAACTGTTTTTTTTTTAATCCTACCAGTCACTTAAGAAAGTATACCTTTAGGAAGGCTTGCCATTAAAATTAGCTCTATGGTAAAAGGTTTATTACCATCTTATATTCAACACCCAATTTATTTTCAACTCTGAAAGTAAATGCAAGACCGAAGAACTTAATACGATATTTTAATCTCCATATGATTTTTGTGTCACTATGGCCATTCTTAACAATAAATTCCAAACTCAGGAGCGGCCCAAGGCGGGCTGCGGCAGCTGGCGCCCCAGGCGGAACGTGCAATTGGTGCCCCCGCCTGCACGGCCGTCAATAGAGTGATGTCATCATCAGGCACCCTGGTTGAAGGCAGCGCACTAGGCGACAGCTGAGTCGGCCTATAGTCACAGGCCACCCCTGTCCAAACTAAAGTCCCATATTCAGAGTCCTCTGAATTCCAAGAGAAGTTTGGATTCAGATTAAGGATGTTAAGAGGAGGGTAAAAGGCTAATCGTGTACTCGATACAATTTTTATTGACTACACAATTAGTCAATAAGGGAAGGTGCTAGGTCTGGGAAATACCCACGCTGCACCTCTGCAGTTTAAATGTAATAGGAGCTGGGCTGCCTGCGTGCTTGGCCCTTAGTACATTTAAACTGCACAGCCACAGCAGGAGTAGGTCCCGGCTGCCTACCCAACCGGAGCAGCCTCTGCCCACGACCAGCCTGGGCTGCCGCAGACAAGGGCTGCTTCACAGCAGCAGCCCCTGTCCACTGGGGGGGTCCCAGCAGGGAGATGGGATCCCTGAGGACTAATGATGTTAAGGAGCAGATATTTTACTAATCATGTAGTCTATACAATTTGTAATGACTACACGATTAGTCAATAAGAAGAGGCTTGCTCTGGGACCACAGAACCTCTGCATTTTAAATGTAGTAAGAGCCATACAGAGACAACAAGGGGGCGAGGAAATGTGAGCAGTCAACTTAACTACCCAATAAGCCTAGGCTTATCAGGTAGTCAACTACTCGCCTACATCCCTAATTCAGATCTGATCCTGTAGCTCAAGCTCATTTCTAGTGAAACCAGCCAACTTTACATAATTGGAATTAAATATTTTCAGTGGATTTTTAAGTTTGTGAAAGGTACACAGCTGTACCAACCCAAAGTCCTTGACAGAACAGATACAAGATGGAAAATTTACCCATGTCAGTGTGACTCAACCCTGGGAGAGGGTAAACCAAAAGGCATCCAGTCATCCTGCTTATTTCTTTCTCTCTGCTAAGACTGTCAACAAGACTGTAATATGTTGTAGTGGTTTCGAGATGTGTGAATGGTAATTCCTTTTGACAATTTATTTATTTGAAGGGCATTTATAACAAATTCAGAGGTAGTTAAAAGTATTTCCCATTCAGATGAAAAAATAGCACTGTAAAGTAAGTAGCAGCTCGGAGACATGGGAGGAAGTAGATACACCAGGGAAGTATATGAAGTAAAACATTTTCAGTGCTGGAATGACTGGTCAGATATTCCAGCTGCTCAAATTATTAGCATTGCTTTTTGTTTATATGGAATAGAGCCAATGATATGCTAAGTGCTTGGATCTCAGAAGACTTATGTTGGCAAAAAAAAGAGGTTATAAGTAAAACATAGACCTTCCATGTACCTCTCCGATGGCCACCAATCTATCCTTATAGAGTTCTATAAGTGGTAATGCAACATCCAGGTCCTGCAAGAAGAAAAATTATGTGAAAGAAGGAATCCTCTATCCCTACAAAGCAAGAGCAAGATGAATTCAGTTCAACTGTGATACAGAACTGTTGTTTGTGTTCCTTGGAACATGCTCCTACAATAGGTTTATGTAGGGTGAGTTGAGGGACAGGCCATCAGGTTTTAAGATCCTGCAAAGCCATCCTGACATATGTCTAAACTCAGAGGCGTAGCGAGGGTGTTATGCGCCTCCCCTCCGCCAAATGGTGGGGCCCCAAACCTGGTACATAGCTGAGTTCGACCCTGGGAGGTGTGGAAGGAGCTTGGACCACGTTTTACCTGACCCCCTCCAATTTGGGGCTGGGTCCCGCACACACTAACCCTTTGGCAGAGCGGGAGGGAGTCGTGCCGGGGGCAGAAAGGCGGGGAGGAGGTAGCTCCAGCCGGTGATGGCAGGTAGAGGAGGAGCAGGTGAGCAGAGGGATGACAGGGGGAGTGTAGGGGGACTATACTGGCACCTCACTAGGGTGGCACCCAGCGGCCACTTCCCCTCCCCTCTTCCCCGCGCCCTCGTCACTACACCACTGTAAATAATCCACCTCTTAGGATATTTATTGTTTAATGAATTACTTATTTTACTACCTACAGACATATAAATTATATAGTTTTGTGGTTTACATTCTGTTAAATATTTTTTTCTCTTTAATTTGTTCATATCCTGTTCTCATTAGGTTCATGTCTTTTTACATAAAAAATGTCAAATTCTTAAATATGTAAGTTTTATAAAACATGAGAAAAGTTAATGTTATACAACCTAAATATGAATTTCATCACTATATTTCATTCAAGCATTTAAAACCACTGTTATAGCCAGGGCTTGACAAACCGTGGTGAAATCCACTCGCAAGCAACGCACTGCATATGCGCAAGACCCGCATTACGCATGCGCACGTCGCCGGTGAATGACTGAAATCTACTCGCCATGGGCGAGTAGAAACACTGATTTGTCGAGCCCTGGTTATAGCAAATGAGTAACACATTGCTTTAATGAATAAAAGTAAAAAAGATTTTGAGCATATCAAATTTATTGTAATAGAGAGATAGCCGTGTTAGTCAAATATTGGTGAAACAAAAAGAAAAAAGTCTTTAAAGTGCTATATAACTAACAAGATACCTAATAAATTTATTATAAGCAATCTGTAATGTTTCCTAACTGCCCATTTACTTACCTAGTTAACCTAATTGTTTTTCACATTATCGCACAGCAAAAAACTACACAAGAGTTATCAATGTAAGAGATTAACTTACCTGTTAAAATAACACTCCGAAAAACTTTTAAATAAAACTAACACACAACACACACCCTCGCTTTCTTGAGGGCACTTGAAGCAATAAGTAGCCTAAGGCAGAGTATACCCTGCAAGCGTGGCTTTCTGTCTGTCATGAGGACTTTTTCCTTCAGGCTGCCATGACATTCTATCCTTAAGTAAAGGAGAGAGGTCTCTCTGAGCTGCTCTTCCAAATTTCACACAAGCCATTCAACTGCAGCAATAGATATCAAGATTCAAGGCCAACTTTGCCTTGAGCAGACTGCCTCTCCAGGTATTCACAATCACAACATCCAAACATGTATAAGACTTTTAGTTGAGAAAGCCACGTTAATCCCAAGTCTCTGCTATGACTGGGAGATGGAAAATTGGCAACAGAACGTGGAATGATCTATCACTTCAGTAATGCCAACTCCTTTAAAATTGAGGTTCTGATTATCCAGCACCAGCTGAGGTAGAGCAGGCACTGTATGTATGTCTGATACATTTTTACCAAAACTTCTGCCTGCCCAACTCACCAAAGGAGAAAGAAACAAGGAGTTAGTCTGTAACCAGAAAAACTTAAAAAACAACAAAACAGTCTAGTAGTACTTTAAAGACTAACAAAACATGTAGATCAGAGTAGGCAAAAGGGCCTCCATGAGTCGGATCTGGTCTGCGGCGGCCCTACTGCTCCCCCGCCCCCAGGCCAATTATTGCCCACCCTTTCTGTAGATGTTATTATGAGCTTTCGTGGGTGGAAGTGGGTTGTGCCCACAAAAGCTCATGATACCATCTACATCAGGCATGTCAAACAGGCTTCTGGCGGGCTGCATGTGGCCCAATCAAAATTTTTTGTGGCCTGCCACAGCATTTTATAAAAGAATAAAGTGTGGCCCAGAGTGCAGATCACGGCTGGCTGGGCTGCTTTGCTTAGGCATCAAGTGCCTGCTCACAGCTGGCTGCTGTGCTCACACCTCCCCAGCGCCTGAGGAAGAAACGTGTGGTGGCAGCAACACTGGCTCTGGGACCCAGGCATTAGGAATGGGGGTAAGGGGCTGGGAGTGCCTGGGTCTGGGGGAGGGAGGAGGCATTGAGTTAGAGGGGGGTTCTCTGGGGGTATGTCTACACTACCCTCCTAGTTCGAACTAGGAGGGTAATGTAGTCATACCGCACTTGCAAATGAAGCCCGGGATTTGAATTTCCCGGGCTTCATTTGCATAAGCGGGACCCAGGCATTAGGAATGGGGGTAAGGGGCTGGGAGTGCCTGGGTCTGGGGGAGGGAGGAGGCATTGAGTTAGAGGGGGGTTCTCTGGGGGTATGTCTACACTACCCTCCTAGTTCGAACTAGGAGGGTAATGTAGTCATACCGCACTTGCAAATGAAGCCCGGGATTTGAATTTCCCGGGCTTCATTTGCATAAGCGGGAAGCCACCATTTTTAAATCCCCGTGGCTACACGGGGCTCGAACTAGGTAGTTTGGACTAGGTTCCTATTCCGAACTACCGGTACACCC